CTTTTATGACATATAAAAAAAGCAATTACCATAATAATGACCTTCTGAATATGGAAGTTGATTAACAACTTCAAAGCGGTTTTAAGGATGCTGTAGATTTGAAGTATCCTTCTGAAAGTGTTGTACAAATCATCAACTCAATTGATAACTTCCTAGGAAAATCGTACCCAACTGATAATTAACAGAAACAAAGCTACCAAGACACGTTCCCCCTAGGGGTCACCGAGGGCATAACCTAGGCTGAACTCTTAGGCAACCTTGAATCATTATATAGAATAGCTAAGCCACTGCTGTTGTAAAAAGCTCACGTAGCCAAGCGAGTGATGATTAGATGTTTGAAAAACGTCATAAATTGTAAATGTTGACACTCCCAAGCTTGAAATTTATGCAATATGATATTGATTATTGTTGCCTTGCATTTAAAAGCACCCTACTCTCAAATCCAGGGTCCTGGGTTCAATTCCTACAATTGTAGATATTTCTGATGAAACCCCCCCCCCTCTTATAAAGGATTATATTTTTAAAATTTGATATTTTTCAAGTTTGTAGGTAACTGTAGAAATCACCTTTAATCAAAATCACTTGAGTATAGATGATTAATTAAAGATCAAGTGATACCTACATAGATAGCAAAGTGCTAGACTCTCCCTCACCAGACACCAACTATCTTAAAATTCTGGGCTAATGTCTTCCTGGGGAGAGTCTAACACATTAGGTCTGCCGCTAGTCTTTTGTAGGCATCCTTTCATCTTTTTTAACTGCCTCTGCTACCTGATGGGTGTACTTATCTATTAATTACTGTATAAATAATTGTTTTTCTTTCCATTTGTATTCATCGTAGTTCCTCGGGGAAGCCCATCTCGGTTATAAGCCAACCCCCTAACTTATTCCCAATTCTACATACCAACCATTTCTCAGCAAAAAGCCCAGTGTTTGACTTTTACAAATATTCTCAGGAAAAAAACTATCTAATATTGGCTTTAAATTAGGAATTTTGAGACTCCTTTTTTTCCCAATGTTTTAATTTTGAGATCCTTTCCCCCATTGTTTTTATTTTAGACTATCTACCATTATTTGAATTTTGAGACCATCCCCCATTGAGTAAATTTAAGACCATTTGTATTTTTTTTTAATTCAAGACCCTCCTCCATGTTTTTTTTCTCTATGTACAACTCCCTGAAGACCACCCTCTGAACGAGAAAGCAGGTTTTAAATTTGTTCTAGTCTGTACATTGCTGCTTTCACCATCATTATATATTTGTCCTTGTAATTACCCACGGTTTGATAAGAATAAAATTAAACCCATAAATTATCTCCTAAAACACTGAAATAATGATTAGAAATTTTTTTTCCTCCAGGGATCTCCAAAGAGAAATCGTCATCCGGATCAGGAGAGTCGTCAGGAGCGTATTTTCCAGCTGTCGGAGAAGCAGCATCAGCTGAAACAACAGCTGATGTCTACGAAGGCGTTGTTGAACGCCGAAAGCAGTTGCTGGACATTTGATTGTAGGTAACCAGACACGCGTCTCCCTGTCTTCATGTTAGTTTGAAATTTTTGTTTTGTTGTCATCGTCTTCACTTTAATCGGTTTCTATTTACTGTCAGCACACATCACTTTCCTAAGTACTATAACGCTTGTCTATATCAAAGTAGTGCATATTTCTGTTATGTACAATACTTATATTGTTGTGTGTTAGCATGCAGATGTAATTAATAAGATTATTTTACATACCGTTTAATAATTTTCAATTTTCTTCTGTGTTAATGATGTGTATGTTGTTTTGTCAATTCTCAATTTTGTTATATGTTATTTTTAAATTAATGTATCTTAATTTAAGTACCAAAATACTGATTTTTAAGAAACCTGTTAATAAATACATATTAAAATTATATTAATTTTTTTTATTTTATTTTGAGTTAAAGTTCATAGAAAAAATACATACATCAAAATTACAAGACAAAAAAAAAACAAAAAGTGCTGCCGACCCGGGTTGACACAGATGTGCTACTGTCATGTGCCACTCCAAAAGACAAAGAATGAAAAACAGAATAAATATATTAAAAATCACTTAATTTCCATAACAGACTAAATGATAAATGTACAAATGTATATAAAAATGTGATTTAGTAATAAGCTATAACATAACTTATTAAAATCGTGATAACACGAATAAGCATGATGAAGTATATAACAACATTAATTATTAGGAATTCGTTTTTTTTGTGAGGTGGACTAGATAATATCAGTGGCGCTGTAGCCTGATGGTAAACTCTGGGCACTCACTGTGGCCGACAGTCGATTTTCTACGATTCTACGGAGAATTCAGCGCCATTAAATGCGCACAGCGGATCATTTTTAATGACGATTCGCTTAGACTGCCGCCAACAATCAGCAGACGGAGTTGCGTCGTCCAGCGCTCACAGAGAGTGGAGTTAGATTTGTCGTACGCAGGAGTGCCCGGCTTAAAGTGCTTACCTTCTAATGTCAGGATTGTGGGTTCAAATCCAGTGAAATGCTAGGGAAAACTTCCTAAGCTTCATGTAGAGACTTGGTTTATTCTATTCTACTGTTTAATTGTTGTGTGTATTCGATGTTGGATGTCTAAGAAATAGTTATTGAAAACTCTATATGAATAACCTTTGTAAAATATGAAAATACGTAAAAATTGTATTATAAAATTATTTTCTTTCATTTCTTTGCTGAATATAGTACATGTTTTGGATGAGATGGATCCTGTTGATGAACTTTTCTTAGATGCCCTTGAACACGAAACGCAACTGTTAGAGGAGCGAGTCAAAGCCTGTAAAGCCCACGTCATGGTCATCACTAGCTTCGATATATTCCACTAAAGCCACGTATCCCTTGAATATACCCTCAAACCAGTATTTTCAACACGAGTCCCAGGAGGACATGCCCCTTAGGAAGTCCGAGAAACCTTTTTTCATTGATGTGAGTTTGCAAGACATAACTTTGGAAACCTCTGAAAAAAAATTTGCGCGTCACAGACGGACATATCTTGAAAAGTATAAATAGAAAAGTTTGACTGATGTCGCAGACGCTGGTTCGCAAAGCCTTGTTCCGTGTAAAAAATAATTCTTGATGTATTTAAAGTATGTTTTTGTATTTTTATGTGAAGCTATAGACTGCAAAAAATATAACCAATACAAAGAATAATATTATGGAGAAAATAAGTACCCTTTATACTATAGGAATTCAATGAATGCATCTTTGAAAGCATATTGTATTATATCTGAGTCTAAGTTTAGGTAAGGTTTATGGTATTACCTGGATGTATATGTTGAAGAATCTGCCTTATAGTGAAACTTAAATCAAATGTTGGGTGTTGAATATTATGCTGATATGCTGCTTAAAAAATAATACTAAAGACAGTAATTATATTAATTAATTGACATACAGTGAAATTCACTACATTATATTATATATACCTATGCTCATTAGAAAAAAATATAAATTATTCAAATTAATATTGTAAAGGTATTTGCAATTATAATACAGAGAATGGTGAGGTGATAATCAAACGGTTCATTTACCCTTTGCTTAACACATCATTTCACACTTGTGTAATCAGCGAAAATATTTGAATGTTATTTCCCTGATGAATGTGTTTCCAGTCCAGCTGTGGTATCCTCTATGCATACGAATTCCTACACAGTTTTGCATATTAACTAGGTGTTGTCTGGATCCCAGGCTAAAATCACAAATGTGTTGTCAAATTTATATATAGGACATTGAGCACTCATTTTGAAATAGATTCAGGTACATGCTTATTAACATAACATTCACTGGGATGTTTATGTTTTTACCAAGCTTAGAAGCATGATACAGGCATGCGAAACTGCCACTTTAAAATTATGCACAAGTTGTGCATCAATGATGAAGTGTATGCCTTGGGGGTGCTGTAATTATTTCTGACAAATAAGACCCATTACACAACGGCGAAAGATTTAAATTACGACCGTTGAACTCAAAATCCATCTAAAAATACCGATGTTTCTATTTCCCCATTATCTACTGAATGCTTTGTTGACGATCAGAGATTATATCTTCCAGACCAGTCACCTTCCGAAGATTCATTAGAATCATAACCATTAAAAAACTCCAAAATGAATGTAAAATTTTTGATACATATTTTGTATACACTTCACCCACCACAAGTTTCTTCCTATCTGATTAATCTTGACGAACAAAAAAATCGGCAAGATGAATGTCTTTTTTTTCTACCACCGTAAGGTTTCTTCCCTTTTTTAAACATATACTGGAAGTAGATTTTTAGCGAATGTTGATGCGAGGGTATTAAATTTACTGTACACTTTGTAAAGAGAGAATTGTAAAGAAAACAAGCTATTTAAATCCATAGATTAAATGTACAAAGGAGAATAATATCTTACTGTAGTATGTAATAGTTATCAGAAATTTTCCGAAGCAGGAAAAATTAAAACGGCTTGGCGGTTGATTATATACTCAAGTCATGTTTCCACATACTCTGTACAAACAACTTGTAGATTTTTATAATGTGCAATACCCTATTCTGCTGTGTATTCATGACAATGTAATATGCTAGTTGTCGATGTAATGTTTGATGTCGATTGATAATCGAGTGTTTCCATCATAAATTAATCCACCGAGAAGAAAATAACCAAAATGAATTTTCACAATTTTTTCCCTTCTACGGATGAATTATGTTTTCTTTGTATTATAAGTTAGTAGTTGGTTATCATAACCATCTTCATGTTATGTATTATTTTATAACTGTTACACATAATTGTTGATTGTGTATCCATGTGTTCTTTTGAAAGGGGTGGGGATTCGCTGGGGAGCGGGATGGGAACACAGAGGGAATGGGGATTTTGATGGGTTGGGGAACTTGTATGGGGAGGAAATTTAGAGATGGAAATCCAGAGAAGTTTAGGAATTTATAGGGAATAGGGATGTAAAATAAAATCAGTTTCTGATTAATTATATTTTTTACAATATTTCAAAGTTGAGCTTTGTTATTACAAAGGATGAGTTTCATGAAAATATAATTTATGATAAATAATGTCTTATCTGCCACTTTTAATGACAGGCATTCTTTTGTAAAATCAATTTTGAATGCTCCAATTTAATACAATAAATAATAAGCTTGGGTTTGGTAATTGGGAATGACCAATGTTAACATGTGATTAGTAATAACCAATCAAAACATTAACATGATGTTGGGTAATATCATAGAGTTGTATTAGAAACTAGTTTGCGAAAAAAAAAAATATTTGTGTTGTCTGCACCGGTAATTTTCAAATATCAAATTTTAATAAGAATTTAATTGACTTCCAAATTTGGAGTTTTTTGGTGCCAAGTAGTAATACTTTTCATGTTTTTGCCAGAGTTGCGATGGTGATCGATTCCCCCCTTACAGGCCTATTATGGGTAGCGTACACTCTAGTGCTACAGTATACAACTTCATGGTAACTGCCATAACCATTGTGCTAATCATTGTTAATTGTTATTGATTGTTTATTGTTAATTTTCGATCTGTAATTAACTGTTAACATAATTTTAGTCTTAGAAGGAAAGTTGTATAGATAATTTTAGATATGATTATGAGTAACATTTCACTTTAATTTCCTACATTACTGTATAACTTATACATAAAAACATTCAACTATTTATACTTTTGTTTTTTTTTCTTGTATAGATATGAAGGATTTTTTTTTTTGTTTATTAAGAAAAATCCGGTAAAAGATTTGAATAAAAATACTCTTTTCAGTAATAAAGGTTACATAACGTCACCTCAGTTGTAATCAATTTGTGCTCTGTTCATAATTTTCAGTCCATTCACAGAAGAAAGTACTTGAATATATTGATTCGGCAGATATCAAAAATAGAGTTTATATTACGGTGACATTTACGATCTAATTGGGGTTTTCTCGTTGCGATATTAACGTATATTCAAATGCCAAGGCAGTAAATTACGCTCTCATTCTTGCATGGTCACGACTTTCAATTACACTTGTACATATAACATAGTCACATTAATAATCTATGCAAACCATATAATTTACATTCTCAAAGAATTGCATATTTTTGTGTTTTAAAATTCTGTTGAGCTAAAAACTTGCAATGCAATAAAAATTAAAAAATAATTAAATTGCTTATATATAACTCTATTTGCAGAAGATAAATTTATTACTTTGGATAGCACAGTTGATTTTAAAGTAGAGATAATAAACATTTGAGAAAAATGTATGTCCCCCATTCGAACCCAAAACCTTCCGATTACCATTTGGATACTCTACTAACTGAGCTATGAGGCCAATTATATATATATAAGTAATCACGATAGCTGTTAACACTGCTTAATTATATATAAATAATCAATACATATATATATCTGTCTCTTATACACAT